TGCTTCATTAGGTTGACAAACTATTTATCCCGTAGTGGCGGAAATTTCGGTTTGATTCCTGGTTTCTCCGTATGATTTCTCTTACCAAGGGCATTTCCAGGCGCATTCTGTATCATGTCAGTCGGCTTTGTTACCACTCCCTAAAGCCATATGATGGCGGGTTCACACACCTGCCGTCGGGCAGGGTGTCCGATAAGCTGTCTAATTTATTCACTAACTGCCAGAATCCTGATTTTGCGACGTAACCGATCGGCACGGCCCACGTCCTGCAATTGCTCGCCAGACTAAACAATTATTTTCTAAGTGGCATTCTATTTCCGAGCAGTGAAGTCTGTCGACTTCATCCTCTGTGGGTCTGACTTAGCCACACCGGTTCACGTCCTTAGCCAGCTGTCACATTTGCGCCACTAATCCCAACCACAGTTTGGAACGATGATGCCGCGGCTGAACTCTTCGGACATTACCGACAACTGACAGCAGTCCGCACTGGAATATTACCTTTGACCTGTTCCATGGTCTTGAACCGCATCACGTTCTGGACACCCTAATTTTCCTTTGGTAATTCGCGAACATCAGATTTTACAGCCATAGCGCACGCCGACTTCAACCGCAGTCGCACACCCGATTTGGGTTATCTGCCAAGTCCCACTGCCTACGGATTCTTTCAGCGTCGATAAAACGTGCGCGCGATTGGACACGGGACTATGAACCACCGGCCATAGGTGACCTTGCCTAAGTTCCGGGGGGGGGGAATTAGGACCAGGTTTAGGGTTAAGGTTAGGACTCAGGAGTAGGCATCCCCTCGCATTAACCCGAACCTACCTGTAGTGCTGGCGTTTCATATTCCTGCATCCAGCCGTAAGCAATGAGGGGCCCAAGCTAAAAAAAAAACACGATCACTTCGGAGCTTACTATCCAGAGGGGATGGCAGTGAAGCTATGGAGCAGTGATTTAGTCTTGCCTGCGATCGAGGGCAGATTATGTTTATTTGTGACAGTTCTTGTAGAGGGCAGTGTTGTCGGCACAGTTAAGGTCTGCAACTCAAGGGTCTTTTCGTACGTGGGTTCCCTCGTACTTGTGGGGTGCCGTTAACTGAAACAAGTGAGTCACAGCTCGAGAACGGAGTTTTGCTAATGCCCAATTGTATGCATGTTGCGACGTGCATTCTCATTCAGAATACAAGGGCGAGTGGTAGCAAACCGCAGCAACTTGTCTTGCAATCCTTACCGGTTTTGTCTTACTTGCGCGTCCTGTTTGACCGTAGGCGTAGAACATTGTGGGACATTTATACTGAGTGATCTACTTTCTAGTTCGCACTCGTGAATCTCCGTCAAGGAGAGTTATGTTATGTTGCCGCACAAATGTCGTTTAAGAAAAACTGGGATTTGTTGGAGCGTGTAAACGTATGTCTGAAGGAGCATCCCTGGCCTCCTAACCACTGGCCGAGCCGCTCCGAATAGTTTCTCGTCACAACGACCAGCGGCAACGTATCTAGTAAGATTAAACCCCTTCTCCGGCGGCCAGCTGATTTAAGCCAAAGCACCGCCAGGTAACAAGGTTTTACGGTGAATCCTCCCCAATTTCACGGCAACAGTCCAATAATGCGGAAAGTAACACTGAGCTTGTCAAAATTGCCTTGGTCTCCCTATTGAATGATCTTAACTATCATTTTGGTTTTTTCAACACTGGTGCCTGCATTTGTTTAAGACGGGCTGGCTTACCTCAGAGAGTCGTCATTAGGCCACGCTGGCTTAAATTCTTCAACATTTCGTGCTCGTTTTCTGAGCACGGAGTTAGTACTGGTCGGACGGGATCTTCGATGCACGCCGACTTTGTTGATACTTGACATGGGGCGAAGCTTTCATGGAAACTTCCTGCTCAGAATGCCTTTGCTTGCCGACCAGCAGTTTCGTTCTGACATCATTTACTCGCCAGGCTGTCTTTTGGTCAGAAATGCAACCAGTAATATTATGATTATTATGGGAAAAATGCTCCTGTCCACTAGTAACACAAAATTCTGCAATTCATAACAGCTTTACCTTGATGGAGCGATGTTGCCAGCTCAGTCGGCGAAGGTTACCCATCGTCTGATCGCAAGCTTAACAGCCTCTGATAATCTCTTTATTATAAACGCATGGAAACAATGTTGAATATTTTATGGTCGGGAGCGGTTGCAGCAGTCAATGATTAACGGTGTGCAGGAACACTGCCAGGTCACAGGGGCGTTTCGTGCCGTTCAGCTCCGTTTTTCGCCAGAGATTTACGGTAGCATGAGTCGTGCCGTGCAACAAAGTCGAAAAGCAGACGGCAGCCGTTTGCTAATAGGCACAGTGAGCTTGGAAAGTGAACCCCAGCGTTAGTAGTTTTCCGTTGTATTCACGTCTCACCTGGCACGTGACTGGGCTGAATCTCCTAAGACCATACTAACTTAAAAAACGTCCACGCATGACTGACATTTGCGACAATGTAGCCGACGTCTCGGTTGCTATATCTCTTACATTTGGTCGTCTTTTATTTGTTCTTGGCACGGCCGCGGCTGTTGGGACCTGTCTTCGCACCAAGTTCTTGGGAAACCGTATGAGAATGGGCGGCGCAAGCGTTGTGATCCACGCCACGGCGTCTGCGCGAATCGACGCTCTTCGCAATCCCGGTTCAGGTATGCGAGCAAATAGTATGCTTGCTGGACTGCCCGGTCGCGAACACTTGTTTAGTGCTGGATGTTAGAATGTGCGGACGTTTATAGGTCCGGCATTCAAAATATCAAGGCGCAGTTTTCGTCGGCACGACGTGTATGACTGATGCCTGTTAGAAGTTCGGACTCCTGACTCATGCTCTCGGGAAATGAAGATTCCCGGGTTTACCTCACGCTGCACCCTAGTCCCATGCGACTTCTGATAGACAGGCTGGGAAGACTGTTCTGTCACAGCAAGCGAACCACGCACTGCTTCTTTGGGAACTAGTTGATGACAATCTAGAGCTGTGCCGGCTTTTCAGTCGTCCGCTTCTAATCACCACCATCACCAGCTCAAGCAAGCGCGATAAAGAAACCCTACTCGCAACTGCGAGAATCGGTTGCAAGATTCCTCGCGGTTAGCCTGTTCCTGTCGGGAAATGGAATGACCGAACAGCTTGGGACGCAGTTCCCTATGGGACAGTGGTGGATGTTGAGCCTTGCCGACTAGAATTGGCTGTGTTACCAGACGCGCCTAGTATAATCGATGGCATCCTCTTACTCGGTGGTCTTCCGGCTAGCCTGATAACATTCTGATCAGCTCAACTCGACGCGTTGCGCCACAGTTGACGATTATGGGTCAGAACATGTTCTGTCGCACACGCCTAAAAATTCAATTTGTCACTGCAGCCTAGGTTGCCACGTGCGAGACGCTTCGATGTTGCAAAGCTACGGCAAACCAACGCAAGCGGGCCTCTGGATTCAGGAATCCTGCCGTACTTTGCAGTCCAAGTCAAGGGAGAATACAGCGGCAAATGGTCATCATTAGAGTTCTCGGTCAGCAAATCAGCCGAACGGGCTCGAGGATTCGCGGGGCGTTGTCGCAATGACCGAAGCGGCTCAGGTACGTAACAACTGCTCGGCCAGACAGTTCAAGCTATGGCCCGCGGAGAGGATCCCTTCCGCCAACTTCGGCAAATTACAGCAGTGTCGACTAGAGATTATCTCAAAAAGTTTCAGGTTGAAGGGTCGACCTTCATGTGAGAGGCTTCCAGCGCTTTCTCGAATCTGATTACCAACCTATCACTCACTTCCTCTTCACTACAGCAGTTTTATTTCCCTCCAGCTTATATAGTCTCGCGACTTCCCTTCCCAGACAGAAGTCGCTGATGCTTCGCAACAGCAGGGCGCCGGAGAGGACGGCATCCTTTCTCTGAAATCGATGAATTCCGCGTCGGCACTGCGGCTCCCTGTCTCTACGAGATGAGCACATTTCCGATGACTGGTGTTTGGCCATCCTTGTGCCTGTCTTCAGTGGAAATACGGCGAAGCGCTAGGTGAGCTACGGTACAAGTTCTATCGACATCTCCAGAAGCCCGCTATTGTAATTCTCAGGCGATTTCTAGGGCCTTGAAGTGGACGCAGCTTAACAAATGGCCCGCACTGCGGCGCATTCCTAATTACCAGCAACCGCCGACCGTTTGTTCGATTTCACCGCATCGCTCGTTTCGTTTTATCTTGAGTCTCTGTGGCCTGTAATGCGGCTGAATGCAATGTCGACGGAACTCAGTGACATGACCAAGGCGTTTGACAGGGTTGTATTCTGTCGCTCATCGTGCTCAACTACGCAAGTGGATTCTCGGACGGGCACTACGCGGTTTTGGCGATTTGGTATCTGCGCCTGCGTGTCGGCTGACTAACGACTACAGCATTGCTCTGCTGGTGCCCAGTTAGTAATGTGGAGTCTCGGTTGAAAGATGTCGTTTATTCATTCGGTCTATCCATCAAACCCGGAAAGAAAAGTCGGGTTGCGTGAGTTTGCTTCCCAAATGGACAGCGTAAGGGCAATACATTACCAGTGTTGTTCATGGGGTTTTGTAAGTTCTACTTGTCTATCAACTCGTCACAAGGGTTCTTGTGCGTACAGCGTACCCGCCCCGTCAGTCAGAGCATTATTTTTACATTCCCTCAGAGGTATTACTTAATCATAAATGCCCCTCTCCTCATTCCTATTTCCGACAACCTCATTTGACCTTCCTACTCACCTTACCTATCCTAATTAGGAAGCCCTTTCCTTAGTACGTTGCGCTACGCCCATGTCGGATCGTAATGTCGGTGGCGAACATTTGTAACTTCACCTAACAGACCTCAGAACTTAGCATCCCCTACCCAGTCTGTCTCATTGATCGAGTGGCGTTGTCTGTTTGACTGAAGTAAACCACGCAATCACACCGAGATAAATGAAAGGCTACTGACTGGAGGGAGTTCTATTTACAGATACTGGGGAGGGTGTGCTGAGGAGAGGAGACCGCGAACGGCAAGAGCGGTATCAGTGGGACTTCTTGAACCGTTTAGCTGCCGCCGTGGATAGATGTGGAGGTGGCCGTCGATTTCGGTTCTTCACGTTAACTTCATCGTAGAAGTGCCGACCTGCGCGTCCCTGTTTTCTCCTCAAGGCACGTTCCAGCTGGCGTCTGCGGCTCTTTGAAAGGCCGTTGGCGCCCTCAACGTCCTCTTCTTCATCCTCCTGCGCCTCTTCCAGTTCATCCTCCGAGTGTGGTGCCAAGTCAAAGGTGCCGTCGCCTTCCTCATCATTCTCCTCCTCCTCCTCGTTCTCTGAAGCCTCCTCCTTTGTCGGCTAAAATGGGCGACAGAGAAGCAGGGGGATCCACTGTAGTGTATTACTACTTGTGGTAGGGGACGCTCACCGATCGTTCCTACGGAACTCACTCGTTCCGTTGAGCCTGACGGGCATCTCTCGAGCCCAACCAGCAGCCGCACAGCGGCGCATGATATGTACAGAATAACATTGCCGACAAAGACGAGGGAGACTGGAATTGCCATTTCTGGCTTATTAGCAGTCGTCAGAGAGTCATACCCAACCCCTAAGCGTGAACACCCGAGACTCGAACTCGCGACCTGTTAGTTAGAAGTCCACGCCTGCAACCACTGGGCCACAAGCTCGTTGCCCTGTCGGTTTTCGATCGGGAATATACAATGGTAGGGGGCGCTCACTGCCTATATCATGCGCGGCTGCTGGTTGGGCTCGAGAGAGAGCCCGTAAGGCACAACGGAACGAGTGGGTTCCGTAAGAAAGATCGGTGAGCGCTCCCTACCATTGTAGATTCCCGATAGAAACCGACAGGGCAACGAGCTCGTGGCCCAGTGGTTAGAGACGTGGACTTCTAACTAACCGGTCGCGAGTTCGAGCCTCGGGTGTTCCACACTTCGGGGTTGGGTATGACTGGCTGACGACGGCCAACAAGCCAGAAATGGCTATTCAAGTCTCCCTTGTCTTCGTCGGTAATATCATACTGCCTATTACTACTTGTGATAGCAACTATGAGGGAGCAAGTAACGGTGGGGACGAAGGAAATGGACGCCATAGCATGTAGCGTTCATGCAACCTACGACTATTCTGTGAACTCCCGCACCGATGTGATTCTGGCGAGCAGAAAGAGTTAGTGGCTAAAACAAACACCTCCAGGCCACTCTCTGCATCTGACTGGTAGCCGCCGATGTGCGCGACCATCGCCGAGCAAGATATGCGTGCGAACTCGTCAGTCACACGGAGTCACAGCTAAGATCACAAGCGATCACAAAGGCTCACGGGCTGACCAATAAGGGATGATCTTGCGCGACGTAGGAACAAGGATCACAAATTTCTGGCAAAATTCTCGGCCTACAGACACTGCGGTGTTGGGGCTACTTACGACGTGTTGTAAGCCGGTTGTACGCCCTGCCTAAATAGTGACCAGTCAACGGAAATCTGCACTTCAGATAAGTCAGAGGTATGAACAGCAGTTTGATGACTGTCAGTCAAAATTTCTCAATGAGGGTAGAGGAAGGACATTTTCAAGCGCGAGCGGTAGCTTCCAAATGTCAGCCAGCAAGGTTGAGTAGCTCATCTCACTGAACATTGGCAAGCGTCACTGGAACAAGACTGAAGACGAGGTCGGTCCTCGCGGACGCACATACATCAGAGCCCTTATTCACTAAACGCGCAGATGAGTCTCCGGCAGGTAATAGGTTCTCCTAGGGGATTAGCGTCAGAATAAAACTCAATTCCTTCTAATCGATGCTGGGCATTACCATCCCCAGAACGTAGCGATGACCAACGTGTGGACGTGTTTAGTGGGACGGCCTTTCAAAGCATTTACCTAACTACCTATTCCCACATCATATTCCGACGGCGGAACAAAATACCAGACCTGGGCGTTGGCGGGGTAAACGCTCCGTACGCATTTGTCTGACACGCAAACGGCATTATTAAAATGGGTCTCGAATCTTACGCGAAAAGGTATGGTAAAGGTCATGTTAAGAGGGAACGACTACAGCCTGACTACCGGTCTTGGGTACGATTGACCTCTCCCGTTGGCTGGCAACCATCTCTGTATCGATCGTCGCCATCTCTGGTAGCTTCAAGGCGCGTTTGAGAGACTAACGCTGCATTGGGATTGGAATGATCTACCACCTCCTTACCGTGTCTCATGTCTCAGTCGTCTGTCCGAGTCAGGCGAACTGGGGACGAGATTGGATGCAGTACCTGACTTGATGTGAAATCGCTGTCTGAGGCGTGCCATACATCCTTGATATCACAAGAACCACACGTCAAGCAGCCGTCGTGATCTAGCACTTGTTCCAACGAGGCATACTTGGACGGAATCTGCCTACCTCGGACGCTTCCGTGTCCGAGTGGAAAGGACAGTTGAAACACGACTGCTGTTTATGCGCCGCCCTCTTCGGGCACCCTGTTAGCGCGATAGCTATGCTGACAAAATTGCCCTGTTAGGCTGAAGGAAGTTGTTTATTCAGTCCGTTAATCAACCTGAGACCAAAAACGTCCCCAGATGCATATTTCACCATAAAATGGCATTACCAGCAGGCGAGGCTGCTGCCCAATGGACAGAGCAGTGACAGCATCTCTGGAGACGATCACTGAAGACGAGTCCTATGAAACTAATAAAAGCGAGGAGACGTGTCCCAGGAAGCAGTCTAGAAGAAGGAGACACGGTCGCCGGGACAAGAGCAGATAGGGGTTTTGTCTCTGATGATGGGTTCGAGCAGGAATCCGAAACGTCAGGCTAGTAAAGCTCTTGTCCCAGCGATCGTGTCTCTTTCTTCAAGACAGCATCTCTTCTCGAGTCGATGCTGTTCGCAGGGTTTTGTGAGCCCTGCGTGCCAGCGGGGCCGTCCCAACAGCGACCTATGCGTTTGTGAGATGTCGGGCTCTATGCGTGAAAGAACAGAAAGTGGATAGAGAGCAGATCGAGATCCCCAGACTCGTTGCCGCAGACTACCGCGCGTGGAGATGCCCAATCCGCGATATCATCAAAGTCGACGTAATCACAGATCACCAAAACTTGAAGCAAGTAAGGCGATATCATCGGCATAGTCGAGATCAGTCAATTGGTGTCCGGGTGCAAACTTAACGCCGTCACCCTCGTGTAGGGTCCTCCCGAGGATCCAATCAATAGCATAGTTGAACAGAATGGGCGACAGGATACAACCCTGTCGAACGCCAGACCGAATACCGAACGATTGGGAAAGATTGTTGCGAACCAGGACTCTCGCAGTAGTGGAGCGATAATAGGCCAGAGATGAGAGCAGATCGAGATCCCCAGACCCGTTGCCGCAGACTACCGCGCGTGGAGAGGCACTATCCGCGATATCACCAAGATCGGCATAATCACAGCCATAACAACTACCTGTAAGCAGACTAAACCTGTTGGTCGTGAGGTGCTTAATTCCCAACCGGCTTTTAGGAGGGAATAGGCGCGTGGCCGCACGGTGCAGCTGCGCCCCAAGGGCTGTGGAACAACCAAGTGGGAGGAGCCGCTAACCTTTGCAGACGCTGTTTCATCCAAACCGGAGGCGGATAGCGATTCAGGATTCGTGCTCTAAAAGGATGGAAAAGTAGGGATTAAGAATATACTATGAAAACACCATTTCTTACGGAAGAAACGCGACCGGCTTCAGACAAGAGGCGGGATAATGAACGCGCACGTAGAAAGGGAAGACTCACCTCGGCTGCAATGCTGGTTTCTTCACCTTCGAAGATTTCGGCTAACGCCTGTTGGGCAAAAAAACAAGGGTTAGTTGGGCTACCGTTAGGGGTGAGACCAGGGAAGGGCGAATATCCATTCTATAGGTTGCTGGACTAAAGCTTGGAATGGAACCCTTGGAACACTAACGAAAATCAGAGTTATATCTGCAGGGGGGAGAGGAGAGGCTGTTTCGGCCCGTTCGCCTTGGCATCATCTGTGGATGATGTGCGCCTTCATGTGTGCGCATTGGTTTATTTCCGGCCGCAAGTGTTTGGCATACGTGCGGTCCGCTGAGTCAGGCCCCAACGACTCCTTAGTGTGGCCTTCGTGAAACTCACTTTTGTGAGGCTCGAGCCGCCCAGGCCGTGTGTGGCACGCGTAGACGAGCTGTTTGGCTGTCAGACACTGCATCCGAGCCCACCTCCAGTCGTCTGGAAATTTTCTTGCCACCCGATCAAAGTGGGTAAGGGAGGACATAGTGCGATGGATGCTACGCAAGTCCGCCTCACTCTCCGTGGGACACGGCGGAAGCCGTTCGCGACGGTTGTACTCTATACCACGAGAAGACATAGTGCGATGGATGCCACGCAAGTCCGCCTCGCTCTCCGCGGGACACGGCGGACGTCGTTCGCGACTGTTGTACTCTACACCACGAGAAGATATAGTGCGATGGATGCTACGCAAGTCCGCCTCACTCTCCATGGGACAAGGCGGGAGCCGTTCGCGACGGCTGTACTCTATACCACGAGAGTGCGGAAGCTGTCTGCTGCGGGACACCAATTGGACCAATATGGGCCCTTCACAGTGATTTTGAGCACAAGTCGGCAGGCTGGTACACAACCTGTCCAGCACGGACCAACTCCTCGATCAGTAAATGAACGAATGCCTTCAAAAGTAGCACTAACCTGCCGATTGCCCGCTCCAGCCGTAGCGTTAACGTCGACTGCCTTATTGCCGCCCTCCTCTGCCAGAGGCGGTGGACGGACAAAATAGGGCAGTTTTCCGCGTTGGAAGTCATTGAGAATACGTTTGGCGGTTGTGGTGATATCCGGCTCGCCACCCTACGAAAAAGCAACCAGCATTAAGCTCACCATGTCGGCTCACATAGTTACGCGTCAACACGGCTTCCTGTGGAGAAAACAGTTAGCGAGATAGGCTATTGGCTGAGAAAGTTAAGGACAATTGGCGCGTTCTGGCCTATAACAGAAAATACCGTAAATTTCCGAACGCGCTAAACCATCAAGTTAGTCAGAAGGGAGGTAAACGTGTATTGCTGTAGTGGTAGAGGGGGACGCTCACCGATCGTGTTACAGAACCCACCCGTCCCGTTGTGGCTTAGAGCTTCACTCGAGGCCCACCAGCAGCCGCGCAGCGGCGCGTAATATAGGCAGACTAGCATTTCTGACGTATAAGCCGTCGTCAGTTAGCCGCGGTCAATCCCGAGGTGTGCGGCCCCTGGGGCTAGATTCCGCGTCCTGTCAGTTAGAAGTCCAACGCCTCTAATCACTGAGCCACGGATTCGTTGTCCTGTCGGTTTCGGTCGGGCATATGCAATGGTAGAGGGGGCACTGGACTTCTAACCAACAAGTCGCGGGATCGGGCCGCAGGTGTTGCACACCTCGGGGTTGTATATGGCTGGCTGACGACGACAAGTACGCCAGAAATGACCATTTTAGTCTCCCCTGTCTTTGTCGATAATAGCATTCTGCCTATATCATGCGCCGCTGTGCGGCTGCTGGGTGTGCTCGAGGCATAACGGGACGAGTGAGTTCCGTAGAAACTGTCGGTGAGCGCCCCTCTAACATTGTCTATTCCCGACCGCAACCGCAAGACAACGAACCCCTGGCTCAGTAGTTAGAGGCGTTGGACAAAGATAAGGGAGACCGGAACGGTCATTTCTGACGTATGTATAAGCCGTCGTCAGTTAGTCTTGGTCAGCCCCGAGGCTTGCAGCCCCTGGGGCTCGATTCCGCGTCCTGTAAGTTGGAAGTCCAACGTCTCAAATCACTGAGCCACGGACTCGTTGTCCTGTCGGTTTCGATCGGACATATGCAATGGTAGAGGGGGCATTGGACTTCTAACCAACAAGTCGCGAGATCGAGCCCCAGGTGTTGCACGCTTCGGAATTGAGTATGACCGGCTGACGACAGCTAATAAGCCAGAAATTACCATTTCAGTCTCCCTTGTCTTTGTCGGTAATACCATTCCGTCAAACAAATTAGTTAAGGTTTGATTTAGTCGCTACAAAGCGATGCGGTCTCAGCGGTCGATGTCTACACGCCTAGGTCAGCTTACTCAGCAGGCAGGCGGAACACACCGAATCCCAGTCAGTGTTGCTCGTGTATGCTAACATCAACTTCCTTAATGGTCATGCGCTTGTTGCCTGCAACAGGAAGTTGGACAGCCTTGGCTACGAGTACGTGTCCAGATGTGGTTCCGAGTAATGCCACTTCAAACTAACAGGTCGCGGAATCGAGCCCCGGGGCCGCACACCTCGGGGTTGTGTGTGGCTGGCTGACGACGGCAAGAAAGCCAGAAATGACCATTCCAGTCTCCCTTGTTTTAGTTAGTAATTCCATTCTGCATGTATTGTGTCACTGCTGGGCCGATTTGATTTTATAGGACTCAGTCAGACGCACTCTTCAGACATCAAATGAGCAGGACATAATCACAAGGGCGCCTGGTTAACCCGTTATTTATCCTGTTTGACACGCGCCGTGGTTTCGCGATGCCAGCCGGCACACAGTTATGCCTCTTGAGAACTGGGGAACCAGAAGCAGTTAGTACATTTACTGAGTCATCTTGGGTGGATCATGTTTCTGCCGCTTACAACTACGCGTCCACAGGCTGGTTTGCAGTACCCGATGGAGATTTCATCGGAAAAGTACATCTTTTACGAAAGGCAGATAGGCCAGGATGTGGATTCCCGGCCTATTGGCCACTTTAATCTGAAAGGTAGCTAAGCAGCCACAGCCGAATGTTTGGATCCAGTTTGCCCCCTCGAGGTGGCTGATTCGGTTCCACTTCACAGGCCCTCCCCGGGTCGAGCAGACTGGCAACGGCCTACCTCTATTTTTCGAAGCACTTCCTCGAAATATTAACTTTCCCTCATGATACGACCGTGCTCAAAGAGCCTAGCCAGATGAGAAGAGAATACGACGCTGTCTCTCACGTTGGATTTGCGTCCAAATTCACCTTCACCGTTAGGGGAGGCCGCGATACCGCGCATAGTCAAAAAGGTAGATATAGAACTCTCGGAGTGTTGAACGACCGGCTAGTAAGTGACAGGGCAATCTTACCTTGAGGAGTTTGCCAGTTCTCCGGGCGACCAATTGGAGAAAGAGGTCGGCATCAGCAGGCCAGCGGGACAACGAGCTTGTCGTCTCCTCCTGAGGAGTTCCTTCACCCCCCCCCACTGTCGTAGATGGCGCCCCGGCAAGCGAAGGATCGGGCTGCGCGACAACCTCCGGCTGCTTCTCCTTCTCGGTTCCCTGTTCGGTCATTTCTTGCCACAGCGGGTGGCAGGCGGGATCGTAGTCGGGCAGGGCGTAGCGCTGTTGCATGTACTCGGGTTTCACGCGAGCCAACACCTCAGGAATGTAGAGTTCAGGCTCCTGTAGGTACTCCACGCGGACCTGTACAGAGGGGAGAGACGGTTCGTGGAAAGGTTACGCAATCCCTACTGACATTCGTACTCAGGGTATCTCTTGTCCATTATGAGGGTTTATATTTCTCAACGAACATAGGAGTGGTGTGAGTCCGGTGGACAAGCATGCATGCAACTTACTACGCAGGACAACCGAAGTAAATGAGGCTGGTCGGGAGTTGGAGTCAAATTTTCCCTTCTAAAGTCTGCTGCTTGTACATGACTCAACTAACATACCTCATAGTTTGGATATCGAAAGAAGGCCGGAATGAGAAATGTGAAGAGAAATCAGCTGTGGGACGAGGTGAGCAGTTGGCGCACGTCACTGTTCACGCTGACAAAAAACCGATGATCCCATATATCATGTCTCCAAACGCACATGCGGGGAATGATTACAGCCAGTCAGAAGCACAATAAGCTGTCCTTCACCCACTCGCTGTCTCAGATGAACTGTCCACCTAAAAACTAAAGCGTTTAGGTGGACAAGCGGATGAGACAGGCCTTCAACCGCATCTGTGGTACATGACAGCATGTTAACAACCAACCGCAATGGAAGACGATTGCACGAAACGCAAGTAGTTTGCAGCTTACATCCGGAGTCCGAAACAAGTACAAATAAACTGCCCAGGTTGCTGGACTGAAGAGCCTTCGTAGGACAAGTCATGGGGCCGCGACTATCTGCACAAAAATAGACAACTGCATTCCATAACTTCATTGGACAAGGTCAGCCGAAAGGAACTGATTCCCAGTTTTTATTGTTTCCGAACATGCCGAAACGAACCGTCCAGACTACGGGACATGCTGTTGGATAGCCAATCCAGAGCCCTCATTGGCAGTCGCGTAGTACCGATAAACACTCAACCGCCGGAAAATCCGGGTCAGAATCCCAGGTTATTTAAGCCTGCGGTTGATTACGTCTGCTTGACGAAGGCCAATAAGCGAGAAATGGCCATCCCAGTCCCCCCTACTTCCTTCCTTCCTTCCTGAACAGATAGGTTCTCGTGTTTTTTCTTTCGATGACACTTGTTCAGATCCCACCGTGCGTGGCGGTCGAGTCTCTTCCATGTGTGGAAGGGTGAAGCAGGCAGGCACAGGTGGACAGTTTCTCAGTCGTAATCGTCCAGGGTCAGCCCTGCGAGGGCGAACAAGGACTTGCATCACATCGACCACACCAAGCACGCCATAATGGCAAGGAAAAGTCAGGACAATGGGAAATTGGGGTGGGCACAGTGGTCGTACACGCATGCCACACTCGTGCTGACACTTCATCAACACGAAATCGGACTGCACTCTCCCGAACATGACATCGGCAATAGTTAGCACAATACCACGCTGTGGAACCATCATGACTGGATTCTTAGTCTGGAGATCTGAGTTATCCCATCAACTCAGAACTTCTCAGTGCGCCGTTCCGGCTCAACAACTCTTCAGATTTATGATAGTAAAGAAGGATTGCCGGTAGACGCGAAGAGACGAGTCCCAGCAAACACGATCGCTGGGACAAGAGCTTTATTAGCCTGACGTTTCGGATTCCCGCTCGAACCCATCATCAGAGGCAAAAGCAGATGCGGGTGGTTCATGCACAAGGGGCTGCAGTATTTACAGGATGCAGTAGCCATGCTACCGCATACCTATGAATATTCACAGCTCCCCCCCCCTTCACCCCCCCCCTCCCCACCTTTCATCCGGGATCGTTGTACGTGGTGTGTTGGCCGACATTCGCGTCGTTAATTGGTGCAATTTCATCACGTGCGTTGGATGTTGGTGTGATGATTGCTGGACCATCTGACAAACCGACCCTGGTGTTGGGAAAAGTGTTCACCCGTGCGCTCCCCGCGTGACCAATTACTCCGCCTAGGCGAAGTCTCAGCACCGAGTATGGGATGGGAAGAGCATTGCACTTGTTAATGGACTGGGAGACAGTAAACCATGACTCAAGCAGCTCCCGGCTCACGCGGTTGTCACCTCTTGCGGGAATTTCGGCCTCGTCAAATTTGAATGTGTGGCCGGATCTCGTCGAATGAGCCGCAACTTGAGAGCTAGCGCCATTTCTCCGCACCGCTGCAGCGTGTTCGGCCATTCGCGTTTGGAGCTGTCTTCGGGCTTCTCCAACGTAGTTGCTTTGTCTGTATCTGCTTTTGTCTCTGATGATGGGTTCGAGCAGGAATCCGAAACGTCAGGCTAATAAAGCTCTTGTCCCAGCGATTGCGTCTCCTTCTTCAAGTACAGAAGGATTTCTGCAGGATCGGTCTCGTGAACAACGAATGAGTGACGTGACCTAGACCCGGCCGACTGGATTTAAGATCAAACCCAGTGGCTGACGTGACATAAGCACAGCGTCTCGTGTGTACCATGCGTATTTGGCCCCCGTTAAGTTTTGACGGAACAGCGCACAGTTGTAGGAACATACCAAGCTGTTTGACTCTGCAGAACAAAAGGGCCCCATATGAGGTATTGGGTCGGGCTTTCAAGATCCGGAGTCACGCCCTCCAGATCCGCTGCCGCAGATCGTCGTCCATTGAGAGGTAAAAGTCACACCATCAACGAGGCCGGCTTGATCAGGCATGATCATAGCTGCACCAAATACATGATCTGGTATTGCTGCGAATAGCAAAGTGGTGGCCAACAAACAGACCTACTTTTCATATATCACAGAAAAATCGACAAAACAGACTACAGAACTTCGTGAGGGTGGGTCAGTGAGGCGGCACCGGCATTCTTCTATTACTTGCCTCTGTAAGGCACCATCCTAATTTTCAATTAAATTGACCTGGTAAGCAGGGCAGCAAAGTGGGCGCTGGGGATTACCCTGGAGCTCCGATCTTTAAAAGTTCCAGATTCCAGCCCACAGACTGTGGCTCAGTTGGTAGAACTCACAGTGGATACGGATCTGGGACCCAGATTTCAGGTCTTTCGGCATAGAGCTTGGATGTCTCGCCAGCTCGACCGTCGATTCCGACGATGTCCACCGTGTGCTACACAACTAGGTGCAGCAGGCACGGTGACATGCGCGTGAATTGTTTTTAGTGAGTTTGGACTTGCGCAGCATCCACTGCACTCCATCTTCACCACTCCCCACCTGGGCCCGGTGTCAAAACATAGTCAAGAAGACCGGAGACGGGGGAAGGCGCAGGTGACTGGCACGGCCGGACTCGCACCTAGGTGTGCCACCACACCCCCTGGTCCACAACAAACACTTGACCAGGACATTTACTGACAGCACAACAACGGGTCAGAAGGACGAGGATGACTGGGCAGTCATGCTCACCACTTGCATACCCAGCGGGAGCGCAAGAGCATCTATCATCAGGGAACCAGGTGTCAGAGAACTGCTAGCGCATACCAGGCTGAGAGAGACATGGTTTGCTGATACTGACATAGCACACGCTTGCAGACCTTTTGACCATGGAGCTTGGATAAAACTGGCGGAAGGAAGCTGCTGTTTCTGTCAGACACGCTTTCTGTGCCTCCGCACATCCTTAAGGCCCTAATGAGTCCTAAAATCTCAGGTCTGACAGGAAGGCTGTTGTCTCGTGACCATGCACAGAAGCAGGGCGTCAAGACGTGCTCAAATGCCAAGCGCCATGCTGTTTCGCAACCCTTATGAGCCCTAGAATAGGATCAAGGTGACATACTGAGTTCATACGTCCACTAAAGGAGGTCTAGGTATAGACACCAAACGGAGACGCCATGAAGTTGCAGATGTGTCACGTGACAGGCTGCCACAGTCAGCGCAGTCAAGTCAGTGTGTGCGCAACATGAGGTGATCACGTGGTGTGGAGCAAGAGTGTGAATCGAATTCTGCCGAAGCCAAGGTGCTCAGGCTAATTAAAGGTTAAACAACGGACCTCGCGCCGCGAGATTCACTTCGTGGGCTCTACAGGAGCAAACCCGGGGATTAAGGAAATGGGGATTTATTGCGAACATGTGTCCGACAATTTAGTTTGCCTATCTCACCATTAAAGCTTACCTAATCCTGGACTAAAACTGGCTCACATAAGAGACATCGGATTGAGAGTGTGGATGGATTTAAAAAAGAGGAGTATTCTTTACATGTAGGCAGTGAGGGAACTCTGCTGTTAGCAAAAGTTGACCCAATTACTACGTGGACACACATCGGTCGCTGCAGACGAGTTATTACGTAGTTTACAACACTCGTGGATGGTATTTCTAAACAGTATTTGGATCGGTAGGAGTGCGCTCACCGATCGCGCCATGGAACTCACTCGTCCCGTTGTGCCTTGGGGCTATCTCTCTCGAGCCCCGCCTCTAGCCGCACAACGGCGTGTAGTACAGGCAGAGGAATATTACCGGCAAAGACAAGGGAGACTGGTCACCCGGCTTATTAGCCGTCGTTAGCCAGTCTGCCTTGTCTTTGTCGGTAATGCTATTCCGCCAGTATCCTGGATTATAAGCAGCTAAAATTACCTACTAGGACCGACCCCCCCCCTCCCCCTGTAACATGTGTAGCTGCGAAAAAGAGAATCACATGGTCTAGAATGACCAGTAACACACGGGATGCCTGCGTGCAGGGATTACCGCACGAACTACTAGCTGAGACACCTAATTCCACCTGTTGAGACGACGCCAGTGAAAGTTCGTGAGGCAGGAACCCAGCGTGGAAAGGTCGTCCACTGGTCTGGTTAGAGGACAGTACATGTCGATCCGGTTGTGCCTTGAGGCCCCATCTGAAGCTCTAGCAGGCGATCGCATGTCGACAATGCAGGAAGGAATACCAAAAAGGCAAGAGACTGGGATGGCCGCTTCTGGCATATTAGCCATCGTCAGCTGGACATGCCTAATCCCACGCCTGGATGACCTTAGATTTGAATCCGAAATATTTGGTTATTGGGGGTTTTTTGAATCCAACGCTTTACCATTCGGCCAAGGGTCCACTATCCCGCCAACTGTGACCGGTAATATTCACGGAAAGGCAGGTATAGGTGTCACCCGTATTACAGCTGCTTTTGAGCTAAATTTCAGGGGGGGGAGCAATTAGCCCCGCGTTCTCCCCTGGAATTTAGCGTAAGACCGCCGTAGTGCCGGGGGTATCTCTGCTCTCGTATCTTTTCATATTCCTCATTGTGGGAAGGACGTTCACTGATCGGATCAGAGGACATGCGCCTCCCCTTGCACCTTTGAGCTCGACCGGGAGTCCATGCAGGCGGTCACACGGCGACATGCAGAGTTGACTGACTCAGATGGGCGACTACACGCAGAACCTGGGTGAAAGGTTGACCACAGTACGATATATAAGAGCTCTACATATCCAGGAAGTTACAACACAGTGTGTGTCTCTGGCGTCATGCACCGCTCACTGAGGTATGACTAGATCACTTCGCCAACTACTCTTGAACTGAATACCTGCGAATAGCGGGCGCACGGAAAAGGAACGTAGCTGCCGACGCCATGTGCTTCATCCGCTCTGTCAGATAACTTCAGCAGCTCGCGTGAGTGAACCCCCTCGTAATGGTTGGGTCGTCACGCAATCCGCAAACGATTCAAAAAGCCTTTTAAAATGGCAAACGGTCACTAGAGCGTCACAGTGAGGAAGCGGCAGACTATGATTTCTCGCGTAGGTACTGCGAGCAAAAATAATTTCCCGGACAGGCTGATAAGTGCTGGATCCGGTTGAGGCAGTGCTTGGGGTTCACTTATGTCCTCAGCCCGCTTGACCGCTTTACGAGGTGATGGACGGTCGTCGGTTAGCAAAACTTAGCACCCGAGTACGTAGCCGGTCTGCTCTCTGAAGCACAAGCTATATCAATTCGCTCCCCATCCCCGTTTCATTTCCAGCATTCGTTCTCTGTTCTGTAAATAAACAGTGGGAACCAAAGGTGAGCCCTGGGTTTTTACGATCCATCGACACGACGCCAAATTCGGCGGCGTCTCCAATGGACTGCTCGACTACTTCACTTAAGGAGCGGACTAACTCCAGTCTGTCATAAGCCGGACCTTCACAGCGAACTAGTGGTCATCACAATCCATTGCGTAGAATTATCGTATCGGAAGGCTGCTAGTGGTGTGTTTGTGGTCAAAAGACCAACGTCCACACTACTGCCAGCGCCAGCCGTACCAGTCCTCCGACAGTTAAGACCACCGCACCACAACTTAATCCGCGAATTCAGGATCGATCAGACCTACATCCGAGAAACCGATAATGGTTTTATAACTCAGACAAATTCGGAGCAAAACTCTACTGCCATGTAGGTTTACGAAACAAGACGGTAAACGCATCGAACCCGAGAAAGACACACGTCTCAAAACAATGTGACACCTTCCAGATACGCCACCCAAGAACATGGCAGGAAATATCAATGGATAGGAAAACCCATGAACATTTGAAACCAAATCGAAATACCGGCGATTGCACATTCTAAAATCAAATTCGAAAAAAAACAGAAGTGGGGAAATAGAAGTCTAGGAACTTTGGTGGGCAACAGGCATTTCCCGTCAGAAAATTAATTTTTCCGGTTCTGACAAAATAACAAACAACTCAAGTAAAGTTCTACGATGACAGGCTTATACACAAGGAACTTCGGTTTCCCTATCGTCCAGAACCTGGCGTCGCCTAATTTTTCTCCTAACTTTTATGTCTATACAACTACACGTCAGAAAAGTCACTTGTTTCTACACCAGATGCACCCACACAGGACTCTACCCAATCGAGCCTGGATAGAATGTAGCCAATGACAATTTGTGCGCTCCAGCTTGTTATGTGCGAAAATATGCGCGTTTTTGGGGGTGCAATTATGAATCGGAGAGATTTCCCAAGCCCATTTTTCGTCTTAGTGAAAAACCGATTAAACAAGGTTGTCCAATTCACAGGGCGAAATTTGCAGGCTTACCACTCCCTTCATGACCATTTCGGATTCTGTGGCACCATCCGGGTAGACTACGCCGGGGCAATCGATCAAATAGATGGATTTGAGGAGGGTCACGTACTGCCAGACCTTTGTCTCGCCAGCGACAGGCGCGACGTTGCAGACCTTTTTGGACCTGGCAATAAAAACAGTACTTTAAACGCTCTGCTGACACAACATCAGTAGGCAGAGATGCGTCTTTAATATTAGGCCGCTAACCAAGTAAGCTTAGCGTGATTTTGAAAGCCTCCCACCAGAAGCCACTCTCCGATGATGACGACAGGGACGATTTGGGATAAAATAAATCCCTCTAAAAGACGCGATACATGGTCCGAATTTCACAAAAAAATTGAAACAACATGAGGAAAAGGAGTTTTTGAAGACCAATTTATTTGCGGTCTGGCAGTAAACCGCAAATTCAACTCCCTCGAGGAACGTCACTTTTTGTGACTTGGTGCCTCAGAATCAATGTAAGTCGGACTGTCCAGTGTTGAATCTCTGAAAATGCCGCAAAACAGCTTCATGACCTTGCGAAACAGATATGTTTAGCATGGATGAGCGTCCACGCATCAAATCAAATCGGGCCTGTCGTGCCCCAAGTCGGTGTCGTCACTACAACCCGCGTTTCGCAAAATGTCAGAAACCTATTTTTTCACAAGGACTGCGTTGTAGACTACCGCAAAGAGACCCGCACGCAGAAAGGGATAGGAGCAGGTAGCGCAAGGCACAGACCTACCGCATAGCATTGATTATGCTGGACTTCCCCACGTTCGGATAGCCGATGATGCCAACGCTAATCTGTTGCCGGTCCTTGGCGTGCAGAGAAGCCAGCTGACGCAACAGACCCATAAGGGCCACCTTCCCGAGGGGCTTGGTTAGATTGGCATGGAAGACGAGGGTGGGATATTCGGCAGACAGGACCATTTTCCAGCGTTTCTAAAACCAAATAAACGGTGGTGAGGGGGGGAAGGAGGCCTCAGGCCGATAGTGGGCTAGTTACTGAGCGAGTAGCCGGGTAAAAACACAAAAGACAGTTCAATGTTTTGATGAGGGCCCCACTAGCGGGAGAGTTTGGACATCGTTCCCACACTATGACAGTCCGACCGTCGATTCCGACTATGCCCACCGTATTCCCTACCGCATGGTTGGCGCGGGGGCGGTGACTTACGCAGCATCTACCGTACTCTCTTCTCCCTCACCCTCCAGGGCCCAATGACATGACAGAGTCGAGAAGACCGGAGGCGGAGTCGGACGCAGGTGGTTGGCGTGGCGTGAACCCGCGCCTAGGTGTGCGGCTACGCCCCCTGTGTGTGCCATTTTCTATGGGCGTGCATTCCCAATAGCGACTGTGATGATCCAGTGCACGGCCCGTTGTAAGCGCATCGCTCCTCCCAATACCAGTGCACCAGCAGCCAAACTAACCCAATACGACTGAGAACGACATAGGACACAGCGGCTAATCGGCATCTTAGGTCGACGTAGGCGTGCACAAGCCCTCGCTGGTCAGTGTTGCCAGAATTAGATTTAATGCACTCAGGTGGGCGTTAAGCCGACGGAGGGCGCGTCGTACAGCAGGGCTTATGAGGCGAAATGTGGGTAGCTGACTACGTCGCCTGAAACGTCAGACAGCGAATATGGCAAATATGTCTTCCTGTTGTGCGTCCTCCTGCGAATAGAATCTCCGTCAATATCAATATCCATATGTGTTATTTTAAGGGTTAGATTGAAAAGGACCCGATGCGGCCTAGTTGCCAGTCTTCACAGAAACGTTACGTCAGTTAACAACAAATCAAGTGATTAGTTTCATAAAGACGCGTTAGTCTAAAGCTGTTTATCTAAACTAAGCAGAGAATAATTCACGCAGCATCGATCACTCTTCTTTCTCAGTCTTCGCAATTCTCTTGTGGCGAACTTGGAAGAAGACGACGAATGAAACTTCGCACATTTACCGACTGTTCGTCCCCTCCGCACTCGGGCACAACCTCGTCTGGCCGATCAAATCTGTAATTAAATAGTTGTCCGGGAGTATATCGAGAAAGATGACTTACTGACCTAGCTTATGTACGCAAACACCTCCTCCTGATGAGAAGTGCCAGATCTATAAATGAGAGAGGTATGGCCCTGGGTCAGTCCAACTCTCCCTTGCATTGCGTTTCACCAATCAATCACGCAAACGAATCAACGTGACAACAGATGAGAACGTGAGCGATGACTAATATGTCGCTGCACCACAAACTAACTTGCAGCAGAAGCGGCACAGGAAGTAAACTTTCGACCACATAGGCAAACTTACGGTAATCCAAACTGGGACAAGATCAACTTTGTTAATCACAAAAATGAAGTGTTTGTTGGGTTTTTCTTTCTTCATGTAGTTTTCAATGTACTTTGACCGAGTACCCATAGGATCGCGCGCGTCCAGGACGTAGAGCACCACGTCCGAGGAGTCGAGAACCTAAAATGCGGGAGGACAGCATATAAAAAGTTGACAATCAATTGGGGAATATGTCTTGCTCAACACCGTGGGATTGGCTTGCTTTGGGTAAGGGCGGAAAAGTCGGGTTTCCTACCGAGTGGAACAAGCTAACTTGACGATAAGAATTAAGTTAGTATAATTATTCGCGAGCATTGTCATGGCACAGTCGATAAAGTGGCTGTAGGAGCAGCGTGCTAACTGCCCGGCTGAATGGGCTTTCATTCAGACGAGGATATATAAAAAGAGGGGCCGGAGGTTGCCAAAGCGAGTTCGGGCACGGACGAAAGCTTTGCAAAGGAGGAGGCAGGGGGCTATAGTCTTCAGAAATCTGACATTTGAACTTATGTATTTTTTGCATCGCACTTGCATAAGCAATGAATATTCCTGCTTCTCATTAGTGCGGTAGCAGATTGGGGTGGAATAATTTTAATGGATACAAGGCTCGGAACTCTAGCTTTCGACGAAACCAATTACGAAAAGGCCTTCCAAAAACTTGTGTCTCTGGACCGACCTTATGGAGGAGTTCGGGTGCATAAACGTCAAGTTGTAAACATGATTGGAGTTAGCCGCAGAAAATTGCGAACTGCCCGAGTCGGAAAATATCAACTCCGGATTTACACATCTCATTTATTATGCAATTAACGCTTACAGTGTCATAAGCCATTAAGGGCATGCAGATTAAGAAAATTTAAAACTTTAAGGAGACAGTTGCCAAAGAAACAATTCAGGCAGAATTGGCAAAGATGATTGGAAGGCAAACTATTTAATTCAGTGGGTTCATCGACTCGTACAAGTTTATAGACAGATACAAAACCCGCCTTTCTCGATTTAGCTGATATGCAACTGAGTGATCTAACCTAACAACGCCAAAGTAAGTCCTATAGAGGCACCGCGCAAAGCGTCAAAAAGTCACTGAGTCAATTTTCCGGAGGCTAATCTTTCAAAAACAGCGCAGCTGTTCGTAGCATTAAGTTCTTTAGCAGAGGTTTCCGCAGAAAAAAGACAGACCTTATTTCCTGCTGAAATAGACAAGGCGCATTACTTCAGAATAACAGTAGACAAATTGTGTAAACTTGTAAGCTTAATTAAGAGATTGTGCAACCTACCTTGAACAGTTCATTCCACACGCGTTTGGATGTGCCCGCCTTAAAATGAGGATCACTGATGGCATCGCGAACTCCAGTTTCCTCTTTCACTAGAGCCTGATCTTTCTCACGATCATATTCATATCGACTGGACTCTGCGTTTTGAACGAGTGCCTTAAAAGAAAACAGAGCACAGGTGTCAAGACGTTTGGAAGTCAGCAACTTTAATTCTGAAAGAAAAGCTTTGCATTAAAGGACGCTTTGAGAAGTTTGGGATTGAAATGTGGGAGAGCTGACGACCTTAGATGAGGGTTCTTTTAGGAAATTATATATGCACCACTCTGCAGCACGATATATCTGACATAACGGGCGTATCGTCCAGTGATCTTACTTCAAAGGGCTGAAAACCAATTTGTGTTTGCGGTGACGCTGGTCACTGAAAACTCATTTGACTCGAAGTTACCGGCTCGTGGATTCAAAAGACCGTCGCCTTTCATGACATTTCGAATGATCGCAGATGGCCAAGAGGACAGACCAACTGGCGCGTAAGGAAACGCTGTTAGCAGGTTTTCCCAGCCTGATATGGGAGCAACCTTTTATTGAAATGACCATACAAACAGGGTCGAAAAACAGGACGCAGGTCCCGCTGATCGTCAAAGGCCGTCGTGCACAGGGTCTCGGTTCTAGAACAAGTATGGGAGGCTGCAAGTACGCGTACAACGACCAATTGTGAATCACAGAGACACAACTCACAGTCAAATTGTCGCAGTTAATGCGCGGCCGCTTCCTCCTCGCCTTCTTGCCGAAAGTGTCAGCAAAACTCTCCGACGCTAGAATGTCTGCCTTTTTTTTCTAGACGAAACTGTTGATAAGTGAGATTTTCGCTAACCGTTCGTTTTTCATCCAGTAAGGAGACAGGTAAACGTGTTTGCCGCAACATGATTTCATAAGGATTTTTTATTTTCATAGCTTCTTTAAAATTTTGTAGGGCATCTTGCGATATAACTCTCGTATTTCCTATTTCATTAGTCAAAAGGAATAAGGACGTTACCGAACCATCGTCGATTAGGCTCAACTCTAGATACAGACCCAGAGGGTGTTGTTGACTGAAATGGAGCTGCACGAACTACGCGACCCTTTTTGTCGCTAAGACACATATTAAGAGCTAGGACTAGGGCTACCGTTTGGCCTTGAAATTCCTATACATATTCAACCGCTTAATAGTTGCCTTCGACCGCATGGTACTCCCTTTTTCTTGCTTTCCCCTATCTGGAAAGTAAGTTCTTATTAAGATGTTAAAATACCAGGGTTCAGGGAATGCTTCGATCTGTTAACTTTGTCTTTTGCACGGGGTTTGCCCATTTTCCTGCTGTAATGAAAACACGTGAGACGCGAGGGTAGACTAATGTGATTGGCCGAGAGAGAATATCTAAAGTGTGCTTTCCTTTCTTGGTTATTTAAACGATCATATTCTGCTGACCGATCGCTTGCGACACCAACATGTATTCTCGATACCAAATCCAAGTATACAGACTAGCAAATAATGTAGAATCTTTTTAATCGATTTTAAAACTTTATAACACAAGATAAGCACTGCTGTACCATGCCACTTTCCAAGCAACGGAATCCATATGGTTCCATCATGATAATAAGCTGCAAACAAAATTACACTCCCCCACGCACTCATATAATTCATGTAATCTTGTTCGCACCTGGATTAAAGGCTTCGTACTGATAGCGATCCATTTTCTTATTCCCTTTTCTCTTGAAATTTTTGATTTTTGTCGTACGTGTTCCCCGAAGAACATTAGCGATCTGAAAGACATCTCTTAAATTATTGGACGTCAGAAGGATGGAGCGCGTTTCTCAAGGGTTTGCAAGGTCATGGCATGCTAAGCAATCTATTGAGATCTCAGTCTAATGCTTAAAGTGCATTATTAGCCGGGAGGCTCCATGTAGATTTTCGCTCGATGTCTAATGCCATCGGAAATAAGATGACAATTATGACAAAGTCGTAAATGAAAAACAACGCATTATGGCAGGTCGGACAGTCAACCGAAAATTCAAGTGAAGTGGCAATTTTCACTGCATTCGACAGCAAAACCGAAGTGAGTGAAATAATTATCCCAGCCCCAATCAAGCACGAGAAGCGGTTATCTCCAGTTGCCTTCCACAACAGGATGCAAATAGTCAATAAGCCCATCCGAGAAGATAACACAAGAAAAAACACGGCAAAAACAACATTTGGCTTATCTGTACGCATTAAGATAGCGTGACCTTTTGGTGTGATCACAAAGCAACAATATGTATCCCTAAATCTAAAGCCAGCACAAAATTTTAGCAACATCCACATGAATCTCAGAAAACTAGACAAAAACTCCTTGAGCAATTATGTCGACACTGAAGTCCACGCCCTTCAAAAATATCCCCCAGGGGAAGCAGTTAATCTCGTATACCCCACCCTATTTTTATCTGAAATACCCTAATAGGCTAGAGGTCCCGCATAGGAGCCGAAAATTCCAAATTCGATTTTGGTGTGGAGCAAAAAATTAACAAGGCTAAATGATCCCTCTGTAAATTGTTCTTTCACATTCCGACGAGTCAAAAAACGCATGACTTAGTTTATAAGTTGACGGGTAGAAAGGCCATAGCTGCAAAACACCGTACAGTAGAGTCCCCCGACCAAACGGCCCAAAGTTTTCAGAAGCAAAATGATGATCAATGAAAGTAAGGACTTAAATAATTATCACTGACTCAGGACATGCAATGACAAATGACGACCGAGTAGCAAATTTATTTGATAATTACTTCTCAACCAGCTGCACAAATAAAGAAAAGCCAGTCGCAAAACCAACCGAACTAACACGAGTTACCCACAGTGAGATCCGTTTTATTAAAGAAACTGTAGGAACAGCCAGACAGATGAGGCCTGTAGCGGCTAAGCGGTGATGGTGTATGCTCAGTACGCCACAACTTCAGGCCATATCCCAAGTTGTCAGAAGCAGAACGCCAGATAGGGAGAAGAATATGATTTATTTGTTCTGTACAGAATAATGAAGGGAAGGTGGCAACCGGACGAGGATGCGTCCGGCGCCGCGGAGGCGGCGTCTGCGAGAGCGACGAGCCGTGTGTCGCCGAAGGTCGCCGCTGCAAAAGTGTTGTGGCCTTCTTGCCTCTGTGCTGTCTGTTCCAAATCGCGTCAGCAAGGGTGGCGTCCCCTGGGTGTGCACTTGTAACCAATCAGAGATAGGAAGTTGCGTTGATTGGCACCGAGCCCACACGTATGTGGTGAATCATTGACCAAGAGTGTGGCGTGGACGGGAGTGCAAATCGAGGGTTAGCGAGCGCAGCCGTGGCGCGTAAACAGTAGAACGAGGGGACAGAGAAAAGGCTGCTAGCGAGAGGCGCGACGTAGCCATTATGGCTGTCCACCAGCCTCACCGTGGCTTCGATGCACCGTCTGCGTGGTAGTCTCATCTAACTACAGTGAAAGTTTGTTCCCACGGACGGTTCATGGAAAACATTATTGCGGAGGACCTTTCGAGTATGGGACTGATTCCCAATGGCCGTGGTTCTTTCAGGAACTGTTGGAAGATTTAAATGCAAACAAGTCTCATATTTGCTGAGTCACTACTGTACATGCGATCAAGACTTCGTCGATGGCGGCAGTTTGCGCCTGACTCCCTCCTACTGGTGACTCAACAATTTTCAGAGTCACTGCTGTAAAAATTGATTCTTCCGTTTTTTCCAGATATCAGTGTAGTACTCAAGGCCGAAAGTCTTATGGAATAGGTTTATTATAGCGCCCCTTTGGCACTGTCAGTCTCCCTTGAACACAGGAAAAAAACCTAAAACAAACTCATCCATTTCGACTGCACTTTGACTGCATTTGTCTTGGGTGTCTCATTAGCCAACGGAGCGCGAATTGATAGGTTGTTTTAAGTTAAAAAACCTGAGTTCCAAGGAAAAATAATCACAAATACAAATGATAAAGTGGCCTATGCATAAAACAGCAAATGATCTGTACTCCAATACTTTTCCTTGAACTACTGTCATTGCCCCAGCCAAATTCAACCGTCCTAGACATGTGCATATCCTCCAGGTCAGCATTAACCCTGAAAAATTGGAACCGACCTGATTTCCAATGCTGTCATGGTGTTCAGAAAACAACGGTAACCACTAGGATCCTGAAGAAAATAGTTTGCAATTAAATGTTAAGTTATTTGTTAAACGGCAACCTAACAATCTCCACCCAACATGCATTTGTATCTAGAAGTTATGTCAGCCATGCCGTCTCCCTTTCCCGGAATGCTTTCCCAGTAACAGAGATAATGGAATAAAGGTAGCCCCAATATACTTCAATCTAAGAAATCCTTTGAACAAAGTACTGCATTAAAGAGGACATTCAGAGACGCTTCACTAGATCTTTGGCTAAATGTGGCGGCCCCCAAGGCTCATACATAGAAATGTGCAGTAAATACAGTCCCAGACGCTTCTTGATCAGATGCATCCAAAATTTTCTCGATTTTGCATACAAATAAGGGCGTTTCTGGTTAGTCAAAAACAGCGTGTCTGTATCGGAGATGATATGTCAGAATGGGTGAATGTGACCAGTGGTGTGCCTCAAGGCTCAGTTCTGGGCAACTGCACTTCATCCTTTTTGTTAATTACAGCCTTCAAGAACTCAACTGCGGTAAAATAGTGTTTGCCGACGACGTCAAGCACTGGCAAGTCATTAAGGGACCGAATGATCAGAGATCCCTTTAAGATAATCTGCACCGACTGCAAGCGTGGTCGAAGAAATGGCTCCTAGATTTCAATGTGGAGAAGTGTGCCGTCCTTCATCTGCGTCCAACCAACTCTCATTCAAATGATAGCCTGAGGACATATCACCTGAAAGATATAAGGCTCGCCGCAGAATCTTCACAGAAGGATCTCGGGGTTTGGATACAGAACAACCTGAAACCAACACTGTAGTGCAACAAGCCTGAAAAAACGCCATGGGAGTGCTGCATGCAATCAAAAGGGCTTTCGTAAACTTTGAGCAACTCATTTTTGGGAGAGTTTACGGAGCTTTTCTTCGGCCCCACTTAGAATATGGCATACAAGCATGGCGGCCATGGCTAGTAAAGGACCAAGCATATATCGAACGCGTACAACGGCGTGCAACAAAGCTGGTAAACGGTCAAAAAAGCCAATCCTACACAGACAGACTGAATTGCCTTAATTTATTCCCTCTATGTTACAGACAACAAAGAGGTGATCTCATCCTTGTCTACAAGATAATACATGGCCTTGAGCATGGACTTAAATTTGAGGACATGTTTCAGTGGCAACTTTTACCCAATCTTCGTGGTCACTCCATGAAGTTACGGACAACAATGTCCAGGCTGAATCTTCTTTCTGAATTTTTCACGCAGAGGGTAGTGGAGAAATGGAACGATCTCCCTCAGTCAGTCGTGGAGGCTAAGTCTCTGCAACTATTCAAGAAACGCTTGGATAATTATTTGTGTCCCCTGTTTTCCCTCGACAGTCTGAATCAGAACTAATAACTCACGACCGAGCAAATATTCTCTCTGAGACAATGCTACTCAAATGAATCAAGCACTGTTTTAATAGCGAATTTTCTTATTGTTCGTGTACAGTTATTTCTAACGAGCTGACATGTAATGAATAGCACTTTCTTGATGTTAATTGTTTCCCGAAACCATTACGTCCACTACCTAACATAAACTACCCCTCATATTATGCTAACAATTCCCAAAATCCTATTTTCATGCCTCCTATTTTTCCAACCCAACAAAATAGCTTTCCTCTTCCT